TTGTGCAATAAAGATTTTGTACAAGATTGGATTGAATATGAGAAATCTCTTAATAGGTTCTACAAGAACTTTCATAAAATAACCAGGTTTTTTATGATCTGAAATTATGAGAGTGAAATTCAAAGAGCTTAAAGCTGGAAGAATTAGCTACTAATCGTATATTTCTACAAAAAGACTGAGCAATTTCTGTTTTACAGACTTGAAGATATAATGGAGCCCTGGGGATTTCTGCCACAACAAGCTCTGAGAGCTGCTTGCACTTAGCAAAATTGACTTCAGTTTACCAAAAAAAAAAAAAAAAAAGCAAGCAAGCAAGGAAAAAGCTGTTTGGGAGGCTTCTGGACAAGTAACTGTATAAATGCTTTAAGACATTTCAGCTCCTAGAAGAGTCTCAGTGACCTATAATATCAGTATGTAATGGGCAAGCATAAATGGAAGGGAACTAAAATTAAGTGCTAGAATGGTGGGGGAGGAAAAAAAAGTGAAAAGGAGGAGAGTAGAAAAAGTAGCACTTTGCTTACCCTTATTAAAACATTTCTTAGTGCATATGACTCTGCAAACACAATACACAGTATGCATTTATAGGAGTTAAGAGAACAGAATTATGCTGTGTGCATGATCTGTAATATTTACATGCTCCACTACAAAGAAACTTTTACCCATATTCAGACTCACATTCCAGGGACTTTTGAGTCATTTTCCTGAAGTCCTAGGTAAAAAGAAGCACTGAATTATAACTGATACCCCACAGTTCTTCAACTACATACCCTTTTTTGAATAGCCCTGGTAAAAATCTCAGATAGGTGATTCTAAACTACCATGTAGATTAGAAATCCTTTTGGTTTCTCATAGTGTCATTTTCACAGGAGTAAACACATTGTATTTTGTTCAACTTATGACCTTTGAATGCTAGATGTTTTTATAAGTGGGGGCATAAGGGAGATAATCTACCTTTTCTGGTAGTTCCACAATAATACCCAATATTATAAGAACAAAACCAGAAAAATTAAAATGGAACAAACGTTGAGGAAAACAGTTTTGAAAACTATTTGCTCTGTTTGGAGATTTAAGAATGCAAGGAACCTTCTGTGTCACCAAATCCAATCTCCTGTTGTCACAGTCAAAACCTCATACATGTAATTTATTACATACTTGTTTTTCTGAGGGTAAATGTGCTACGATTTATATGTCTCATTATAACTGAATAAATGCTTTTATTTCAGTGGGACTTAAATTAGTCTCCTGTGGATGCCAAGGGAATTTATCTGCTACAGCAAATCCAGTGTTATAAAACAGCCTGCAGCTTTTTCTAAACGAATATGTCACTGCAAATCAGCAAACTTTGATTTTGGCTCTGTGTGTGTTGCCGTGCACGTTCCTCCATGACCAAATGCCAAAAAGGTGTAGGAATAAATATGGTTTCGAACACAAAGCAGTTGGAAAACTCTTCTGTTTTCATTATCTGTGTAGTACTGGAAGGAGTACGCTGGAGGGAATATGCTAACATCTGTAACTTAGTTTTTAATGTGAATATGAATGATCTCATGGCTCAGTGTGGAATGCTAGATGACTGTGGCGGGAGGAAGAAAACAGAAGCCTGTGCAGCAGTTCAATATTAAAGTGTTAGGGCTTGCACTTTCTTCAAGGTGTGTGTATATATACAGAGTATATATGTGTGTGTTGTATAACAAAGGTGTAATTAAAAAAATAGGTAAATAGTGCCTGCTGCTCTAACCCTTTATTGCTTTTCTAGAATTCTCTTATGTTGCTCAGTGGTTGCTGAGATATAATTCAATTCAAGACTAATTTACTAATTAATTATAATTCAGTCAGATAATCAATAGAACATTTCTCTCCTTTCTACGAGCAGAGATAACTGTAATTTTTTCCTGCATTCTCATGAAGCTCATTAGCAATTGCTGTTATAAACTCCTTCTAGAGGCTCCAACCTACATCTCAGCTCTTCAAACATCTAGTTGTATGAACTTGGTAAAAACAAAGTCAAGGATGATTATCTGTATCAGGATAAGTTATGTGAATGAACTCAATAAAATCTGTCATTGGATGGGGAGAGGGAACAGCTGCCAAAGGTCATGCCTTTCAGGAAAACAGGTGGGACCAGTAAGAAGAAAATATGAGCCAAAAATCACACAGAGTTATCATCTACTAGCTTAATGGCTGCCTTGTTCTGCCCAAAGGTAAAGAGCTAGCTATCAGTGCCATTTATCGGGTACACGGCTTTAGTATAAACTTGTTTAAAACCGAGTAGAGCCTCTTTTTCATCTTAATTAGACAATAACTCACTGATTCTAAGTGGGCCTTCATTTTCTAATTATTTAGTACATAATATAATGTCATTAAACATCTTTGAGTGGACAAGATTGCTCTAAAAGCTTCAGCTCCAGAGCTCCAGTATTAGGCTTTTGGCAATCATCCCTGTGTGTGAAAAGCAGTCAGTTTGTTTACCAGGAATTTAGATTCACATTACTGGGGGAATTAGCAGTGAGCTATTAGTCTGATACAAGCACTTAACAATAGCTGATCATCTCCTCCTAGCTTGCAGATAATGGAGGTGATCAGCTGTAAATGGAAAGAATGTAGGGCTATTTTCATGAAGGCACTTGGAGAAAGTGCTGTATCCTGTGACCTCTGCTAACCCTACGGTTTGCAAGAAATCCAAACGCCAAATCACTTCCTGGAGTAGAGCTAATCAACCACAAGAAGAGCTTCCATTAGAGGCAAAACCAAGCTCAAACGGCCTTCCCTCATCTGAAAAAAACGTTCAGCCACAAAGTCCCTGAGGTAGGGGTGATTAGCCCCTGATCATATTTACCAGTACACATTTTGATGGAGGAAGCAACTGTAGAGCAGCAGCTGGTTCTCATTCCATAGCAGTACTGAATGACGAACACGCTTAGTATCGCTCATTCGCTTCCTGTTTTGCTGTTGTCGTAGAATCACAGAATGGCCTGGGTTGAAAAGGACCTCGGTGATCATCTAGTTTTACCCCCCTGCTACGTGCTGACGACCAGCAGCCCAGGCTGCCCAGAGTCACATCCAGCCTGGCCTTGAATGCCTGCAGGGATGGGGCATCCACAGCCTCCTTGGGCAACCTGTGCCAGTGCCTCACCACCCTCTGTGTGAAAAACTTCCTCCTAATATCCAACCTGAACCTCCCCTGTCTCAGCTTAAGACCATTTCTCCTTGTCCTATCACCATCCACCCTCATAAACGGCTGTTTCCCCTCCTGTTTATACGCTCGCTTCAAGTACTGGAAGGCTGCAATGAGGTCTCCCCGCAGCCTTCTCCAAGCTAAACAAGCCCAGTTCCCTCAACCTTTCTTCATAGGAGAGGTGCTCCAGCCCTCTGATCATCTTAGCAGCCTCCTCTGGACCTGCTCCAAGAGCTCTACAGGTAATGTTACCTTCCATTTAGGCAAAGTAAGTTTTTATGATGTATCAGGATGCCTTTGCTCTTTGTGGCTGCTTAACCTGTAGGAGTGTCTTGTAAATGTGAAGTTGCCATACACTGTCAGCAGGTTTTGATAGGCATGCCAGGTTTCTGCAGCCAAACATTACATTTTTGAAGTAAAACTTAGTTTTTCCTGTATCTGTGATACAGATTGTGTCCCCTTTAGAAAGAACACCACAGCCACTTCATCCTTCCTGAAACATAAGCATTTGCTGTGGGAAGTAGGAATGATTTTGATGAGGTAAGGCCATGGTAGTTTGGGGATTTGGAATTCAAGGATTACTTCTTGCATCACCTTGCTTGTGACTTTTGGCAGGAAATGTCAATCAGTTCTCTCACTTGTCAGATAAGATCAACTCATAGTGACTGAGCTCACTGCTCAAAAGAGAGCTGTTAATGTTCTTAGTAAATGTTTTTGCAATGTTCACGTCATTAGGCCATGTTAAGAAATCTAAAGCTGTGTCAAATTTCTAGATGCTGTGTCTGAAATCTGACAGTGTTTTCTGTATAAGTCGCTGTTGACATTACTTTGTAAGAGATTTCTTTCCCATAATGCCTCCAGCAGGAGGACACAAACACTGCAGCTCCTACTAAATGCACAGGAAGGCAGAAGACTTCTAAAATTGCAAGATAGATTTTTATTAGCAAGTCTTGGTATTATGCCACACTCTTACGGATTTGTATACACATCAGAGTGAGTACCTACCAATGCAGGTGTATTTAGCGGTGATTTTTGCTTCCACTTGTTGATGACCAATTGTAGGAGGCAGCTGTCTATATAAAAGTGTATATGAACGTGGAAAAGGGACATTTGAAGAAAATGTTGTGTTCTGTTTAATTTCTGTCTAGAGCAGGATTTTGTCAGACTGTAAAGCATTTTCCTGTGTAATCCAGGACATGACTAGAGGCTGAAATTGCCATCAATAACCTTCTTAGTAGGGGCAAGGGGACTAGAAGTCCACAGTATGATGAATATGAACAACAAAATAATAATAGCTTTTCCCATATCAACCTGACTTAGAGCACTCAAGTGTGGAAAGAGGAAAGTTCACAATGCAGATGAATAGAAGATGGATGCTGCTCATGGAAAGCTATTCCATCTTTCTTATAAATGTTCACACTGATTTCTGGATTATTGTAAAGAACATTTTTCTTTTCCCTGTCATTCACAAGTAATCTCTGGAAATGACGGAACACACCCTACAGTTACAGCCCCACCATATGAAGGATGGCCAAATGTAGATCTCAGAATCCTATAATAACACAGGCAGTTTTCATTAAAGAGAGGTAGCAAACATAGAAACAGCGTTGTCTCTTCAATCACATAGCCATGTTTCAGCACATGGTGGGAAGTACCAGCATTCTGACTCCTCGTAGTTAAGATCATAGAATCACTAAGGTTGAAAAAGACCTCTGAGATCATCTAGTCCAACCACCCACCCACCTCCAGTATTTCCCCACTAAACCATGTCCCTTAGTGCAACACCTAAATCTTTTTTGAACACCTCCAGAGATGGTGACTCAACCACCTCCCTGGGCAGCCCATTCCAGTGGCTGACCATCCTTTCAGAGAAGAAATTTTTCCTAACATCTGGCCTGAATCTCCCCTTGAGCAACTGGAAGCCATTCCCTCTAGTCTTATCGCTAGTTATGCAGAAGAGGCTGATTCCCCACTGCACCACAACCTCCTTTCAGTAGTTGTAGAGAGCTAAAGATCCGTCCTAAATCTCCTCTTCTCTCAAGATGACATGATACTTGTTCCTTTTGCATGAAAATGCGGTGTTGCATCAGAGGGACAGGTTCTATTGCATGCAATCATCTCCCTGTCCTAGCTGCCCAAGGAGATAAGAGGAGGCCACAATTTGAAATGGTAATATTACACTGCAGAGACGGACAGCTACACTGAGGTATATGCAGCAATGGAAGATTTTCTAGTAAGAAGGGTCTGACAGTGAATGGGAAACAAAATATATTACCTAGTTGGTACCTTTGTGAGGTGCAGATAAAACACAGTGTAAAAAGAAATTGCCACATGTTCTGCATCTATTCTGGACTGCAATATTGCTCAGCTGTGCATAATATTGTCCAGATCTGTTGTATTTCATAGAATAAACAAGAGGCATTATACATGTGTATGGAGAAGCTGCTTTAAGCTGAGTTTCTAGCTATCCTGAAAGTGTGGGTTGGCTGATGAGGCAACTCTTGCACACAATTGATTGTGGACTATTAACCTATGCTCAGAAATCAATATTCACTTAACACCACATTCTAACAGGCCAACGTAGCATAAAATAACAGCAGTTACACAGTGCACATGTTTACATTCAGAATAAACAGATCATGAAGTAGAACTTGGCAGAGGAGACTGGCAGGATTGAAAGGGGAAAATGGCAACTTCAGTGTGTGGAGAGGTACAAACCAGTTCCAGCTCCTGGAGGCTTTTGCAACTGAATGAGCTGTGCTGATTCATGTGCATGATGAGGTGATGCTGAATAGAGCATCACCTTCCCTAGGCATTCCTAAAAAGCTCTGGCCTGGTAACATCATCCTTGGCTAGGTAAATTTACTAGGGTTGAGTACAGGAATCCCTGCTATTTCAAAAACGCAGGTCTGTTGCTATCCATGATAAAAGGATGATACATATAGTTACAAAGGGCAAAACAGAAAGGAGCAAGAACATAAACTAAAGTGTAGCATCTTCAAGCTGGAATGATATTTTTCATATATTTAAAAGAATGAACTGAAAAAAATATATGTAAGGGAACTGAAAGTAATTGAGAACTGGTGTTTTACAGGGATTTTATGCTCACTTAGCTTTACTTGTAACCGCCCTGCAGTGAGGGCTCTTAATCCTCATCGTAGAATCACCAGCAATGGGAAAGACCTCCAAGATCATCTAGTCCAACCACCCACCCACCTCCAATACTTCCCCACTAAACCACATCCCATAGTACAACATCTAAACCTTTCTTGAACACCTCCAGGAATGGTGACTCAACCACCTCCCTGGGCACCCCATTCCAGTGGCTGAGCAAGCTTTTGGAGAAGAAATTTTTCCAAATATCTAACCTGAGCCTCCCCTCGTGCAACTGGAGGCCATTCCCTCTAGTCCCATCACTACTTACACAGGAGAAGAGGCTGACCGTCACCTCACCACAACCTCCTTTCAGATAGTTGTAGAGGGCGATAAGATTTCCCCTGAGCCTCCTCTTTTCCAGACTGAACAATCTCAGTTCCTTCAGCTGCTCCTCACAAAGCTTGTGCTCCAGACATTTTACCAGCTTGGCTGTACTCCTCTGGACACACTCCAAGGTCTCGATGTCTTTCCTGCAGTGAATGGCCAAAAACTGAACACAGTACCTAAGGTGCAGCCTCACCAGAGCTGAATAAAGGGCATATCAGTTCTCTGCCCCTGCTGGCAATGCTATACTAGCATACTAGTATATTTCTTATACTAGCCAGGATGCCATTGGTCTTCTTGACTGCCTGGGCATACTGCTGGCTCATGTTTAGCCAAGCATCCATCAACACTCCCAGGTCCATTTCTTCCAGGCAGTCTTCCCGCCCCAGGCCTGTAGTGTTACCTGGGATTGTTGTGGCCAAAGTGCAGGACCTGACACTTAAGTATGTTGTACTCTAAGCCTATGGAAGAGCTCCAACAGGTAGGGTGGTAGGAAACAGTGTCATGTGCATCCCTCTACTTAGAAACAGAACCCCACGCAAGTTCTAACAGAATGCAGACTTGTTTTAAAATACTGTGGTTGAATATAAGCCTGACTGTCACTCAAAATGCTAAATGTGGCAGAAGCAATGGTGGGCACCAAATCTGCATCTCAGAGCACACTGATTGGAGGAAAGAGGGGCACAAATCAGGGAGAGGTTTTCGGTGACCACAGTTATAGGCTAAGGCTGTTCCCTTCCTCTTTTACAGAGGCTTTTTGTTTGTTGAGGGTAAATCAGTAGTGGGAGGTGCCTGGATATGGGATAAGATTAATAATATGGGAAGGAAAGATGTCACTTATGCCAAGTTAAAGTGGGCTCAGCAACAGGGGAAGGAATAGAGACAGAGATGGCCAAGAAACAGCAGCTCCAGAATATACAGAGGAGGCCATAGGCAAACTGCTGTGTTCAGAGGTGTCTTGCTGTGTCTTCACTTCAGCCACCTAGGAAATGAAAAGGAGGAATGAATCCCAGTTAGTCCCATTTGTGCTCAAACACGAATAGCAGAAGGGCCTCAAGCTCTGGACGCTGATATGAGACTGTAGAAAACTTCTGCAGCCAGGCAGCATGGCCTCCAATTTCTGTTTGTCTGTGGAAGGAATATCTGAGTCAAAGCAGTCTGTGTTTTTGCATGCACATGGCATCCCTCACTTTGATGTCCAAAATCACACATTTCCAGGTACAGGGTTTTTGAACTACTGTCTCTAGGCTACTTGACCTGATACTGGAGGCAACAAAACAATGCATACCTGGGACATTTCCGAAGCAAGAGATGTGCTGGCGCTGTCTCCTTGGAAATTTAGGGAAGCTGAATAATATAAGTCTTTCTGTCTTTCCAGACCTGTCAGCTTCTGGTGCATTTGAGACCAAATAGCATTTTCTGCAAACAGAAGCAAAGCGAGAGTCTTATTGTGCTTTTCTTGTAGTATGTAGTATCTCAGGTGGGATGTTCAGGTTATAGGTGTATCTATAGTGCTGTGTGTGAGGCTTTTTGGTACAGCAGTAGGTAATTTAAATAGTAATCTTTTATCTAAAGATGGTTGATTTGTTTGATATACTTCAGAATCTTTTACAAAACAGAAAGTATTTAAATCTTAAGTCTGTTGCTAATATGCTAAGGAGCATAAAAGAAATACTAACTTCAGATTATATACATCATAGAATATACCGAGTTGGAAGGAACCCACAAGGACCATTGAGTCCACCTCCTGGCTCCCAACAGGAAACATTTGGACATAGCCTGATTTTTGGAATTGCTATGCTGCTGAATCTGACAAGGACTGTGTCAGGAGCTACTTGTCTTGGCAAAATAAGGGCCAAAGACGAGCACAGGACGATCAGCAGGCTGGAGCACCTCTCCTATGAAGATGGGCTGAGAGAGCTTGAGTTGTTCAGTCTGGAGAAGAGAAGGCTCTAGGGAGACCTCATTACAGCCTTCCAGTAAAGGAAGATTATAATCAGGAAGGAGAACAACTTTTTTAGACAGGTAGATAGTGAGGAAATGGCTTTAAACTAAAGGAGAGGAGATTTACATTAGATGTTGGGGAAGTTTTTCACTGAGAGGGCGGTGAGGTGCTGGAACAGGCTGCCCAGCGAGGTTGAGGATGTCCCATCCCTGGACATGTTCAAGGCCAGGTTAGATGGGGCCCTGGGCAACCTGATCTAGTGCTTGATCCAGCAATTGGCAACCCTGCCCACGGCAGATGATCTTTGAGGTCCCTTCCAACCCAAGCTGATCTATAAAACTACGAAAGGACTGAGAGTGGAAACCAAAACACCATAACCCTGGCATTGCTGGAACTACTCAACAACCTATAGATGCAGCATGTCTGACCTCCCCACAGTATTGCTTTTTTGCAACTGCTTCATTTGAATGCTGTTTGTAGATAGCTTCCTAGTGTTTGAGATGAACAGAAACGTTGAATAAAAATATAGAAACACTTTCAAAAGCAGATCCATGGTAGTCTTGGAGGTTTGTTAGGAGATCATGGAAATGCTGCAGAAGACAGAAGTGTATGCTAGAGCAATGCAGCGTAAGATCTTGAAATCAACAGGTTTTGAACTTCTCCGTGCTGAGTTGTTTCCCCAGTTCTGCGACATATTGCTTACCAAGGCATTTGTTGTTCTCAAACATGCCAAGTATCTGGTCACACTTCTCCTTCTGGTTGCCACTGCTTTCACAGGTACACCACAGGGAGACCTCCACGCTGGAGTTACTGATGTAGTTGGGTGTCATAGGCGTGCCTGTCCCAAGCCCCCAGAAATGGGAATCAGGATTTACTTCATCAAATGAAAGAAGCATGATGAGTCCCCTTATCCTCAAGGCAATGCTGCCCTGGAGGCAAAAGCCTTCCATTACTCAGAAGTCACCTTGCAGAGCCCCTGCAAGGTGACCCACATCTGGTGAGCCTACATGCAGTCTGCTGCTCTGTGAGAAAGGGTGGAGATTGCTTCCCCTGACTCAGTCAATCTGATGATGAAGCACACTGATAAACCGAACTTTGTGCAAACATTGGACTGAAGGATGTGAAGCATCTGCAGATTCAATGGCAGTGCTGAAACATGGCTCTCCTAACTCTCATGTAGCTGGCAGCACTCTGTGGCCAAATGCTTTTTTTGCCAAACAAGTGCTACACACCTGTAGTGTGCCATTAGAGCACTGAGCTTATTTGGCATGAAAACAGCAAAGACATCTGGAAAACTAGAAGATATAGTCTAGAATTACAGCTTCTGAGATAGTACTGCATTCTGTAGCTCCTTTGAGCCACTCTGAAAAAGTAAAAACAACTTGGCAGTTAATACCTGTAACTAATGACAACCTTCCATTCATCAGCTGGTAGTGCTTTGTGTTACTGTTGTTCTCACTGGCTCTGAGAAGACAGTGCGTACACAGTGTTAAAACAGCATGAGTATAAACGTCAAGCAACAAGGGAATGTCAGCTTTAACTACGATCTTACAACTGAATTCTGCTGTGACTGTGAGGCAGCTCCAGCAGCAAGAATAACTTAATCCATACAAGTTGACAGAGACTCTGCGGATGGGTATTTAGAGCACTTTGCATCAGCTGGTGATGCAAACAGGAATGCAAGAGTCCCAGGCAAGTGCTGCTGCTTTGCCAGCAGAAGATGGGACAAAGCAGAGTGATAAATGCCACAAAGGAGCTCTCTTTGTGCTACATTTACCTCAGAAACAAGTGGAAGCACCGGCATCCATTAGGCTAAGGCATGTTTATTGGCATGCTGAGCACTATCACCCTCGTAGCAAAGCAAGACAGACCCTCTTAGCATAACAATGAGGCTACAATGTGTTGCCTGCAGGTAACCCTTGATGTTCCTCTGGGCATCACTTACCAATCATCCCCATGTAAGCCTGCAGGCATGCAGCATGGTTGTGCTGAGAGCAACCATCTGGGGACATATCTGCAGGTTGGCAGTTTTGTTGGAAGTCAGCGAGTCGGGATCTGTAGGAATGAAAATGAGACTATCAGTGTCTATGTCTCTTCTGGTGGCCGCTGCCTGCTGCTGCCAGACCTACTTGCAGATATGGTCTTCCAAGCAGGAGTCCAGAAGCCAAAGGCAATTGGGTTTGGTGCTATACTGAAAGGAGCAATCAGGAACAATAGTTTTCCGGCGCCGTTCTCCACAGAGTTCATCCTGACATGGACAGAATAGGATCCTTCTAGTGAAATCCTCAGGGACTTTCTCGAAGAAATTTCTTAGCCCTCGATGGCATTTGCGACGGTCACACATGTCCTCACTTCCTGCCCCTCTGGTGCAGATTGAGGCATAGTCTGTGCGCAGCCGAACGCACTTCTTGCTCAAATTACAGACATGAGTTGCTTTCAGGCATGGGTTTGTTGCATCTCCTGCTAACTGAGAGCCTATGAAGCAAAAAAAAAATCTGTAAACAAAGAAGCAAACCTCCAGAAGAAACTTCATGTAGGAATAACCCTTGATGGACAAATTGGGAACAAAGTCCTGCTATGTGCTCGTAGTAAGACATTACAGTGATGCTAGTTACAAAATCACATGTTTTATTGGTTCATGTTAGGATGTTTTTTTTCAGAGAATACGTCATTGTGAGTTATTCCCTCTTTCACGGGCCTAGGTCTGTAACTGTATTACATTTAAGTGCAAATACAGGCAGGTATCCAGAGCAGGCATTTATCTGTTTAAAAGGACAATCACCTCAAATCGTTATTATTGATGATTTTTAGCCCCTGAAAAGTTAAGAATGGTAAAGAATTGTATCACTTAGCTGTTACAAGCTATTACCTGATACCACAGCTGCCAGTTCATTATAATCTGTTTTCCAGTGCTCTTCAATTGCTGGATTCTCATAGGGAGAGGTTTCCAAATTGAAATAACCTGGGCAAGACACAAGGTATTTTATGCAATGAGAGATGTGCCAGCTTTTTTTTTTTTTCTTTTATGCACTTCTTCAGGCTGGAGTTGAGAGGTGCTCTGTTCTGTTGAAAGCCAAATGCCAAGAATGGTTCTGCTGGAGATGCAAAGGTGTGACTGTGTAGCACCAGCATTACATTTTGTCATTAGATTTCCTCTGGCTGGAATTTGGCCTATGTTGAAATTAGCTTTTTGTCAGCCTCAGTGCTAAGGAGCTGTGCAGGACAGGTAGTTCCTGGTGGCAGGCCATTAGAAGCATCCCAGTAAAGCTGGAGAGAAGCAAAACGCTGCTCATGGATGCCATTACAATAAACTCATATCCGTTTTCAGTGACAGATGTAAACATTTTGAAGTGACTTACATAGAACTACAGTTAAGTAATTGTCTCAAAGTTGCTACCTTTGTTTGTCGGACTCCCTGGTGTGTTGGAGGGGCAAGTCTCAAACCAGATTGGTTTTCCATGCAAATCATACAGAGCAGTAATGACCAGGAGACCAAAGGGGTACCTTCAGTACTGGGAAGTGGCCTTTCACCAGTGCTTTCAGGTGGGAGGGGCAGTGTTGAGCCTTACTGGTACCTTCTAAATTTGTATTATTTATCTCACCGTCTGTCATGCTGGAGTGAACAGTCCAGAAAATGCGCAGGCAATGCTCCTGTCTCTTCATGCGCCGATGGCACTTGCAGTGCAGTAAAGAGCTGTTCCCAAGGTACAGCTCTGCATTCAGACATCTGACCCTGCTATCATGATCCAGCCCGACGAAGCGTGTCTTAGCAAGGTCACAGTTTTCCAGAGTCCTGTAGGTGGCATTGCAGTTGGAGTCTAAGAGGCACAGCTGTTCTGCTACTATGCAATCACTCCGTGGTAGAGCCAGGAAGTCTCCTGGTAAAGAAAGGAAAAGATTGTAAGGATTTCAATCATGATAAATGCCACACAAGCACCTTGTCATTGTTTTGTAGGCATCCTCAGTAAGAACTCAAGGGGCAGCACTGGTTGGGGTCTTTCATATTGGAGCAGTGTGGAACAAGAGCACTCTCCGTTTAGAAACAGAGGAATGACTAATTAGAGTGTGGAAGAGAGAACAAAAGATTTATAATTAATCTCCAACATGATTTTGTTTAATAACATCCCCTCCCTTTTCTTTAAAACCACCTTTAACTCTTTCAGCTTGGCTGGGATCAGGGGTGGCTCTCTATTTTCCTAGAGCAGTAAATCCCTAAGGAAACTTTGGCTTTGTTGAGGCCTTCTTTGAAGAAGCTCTCCTATCTGGGTAATAAGAAGCTCAGTGCAATAAGCAGCACTAACACCACATTGTGGTGTAAGTCAGTGCTGCTGCTGTTGCTAAGGACACAGGTCACTCTGAAAGTAATGACTCCTATTTATTTCTGCTGCAACTATGAAGATACAAAGCACAATAACACTATTTGATAGAGCAAATTTTCAGCTACAAAACACTATTTTTCAACACAGTCACCACCTTTAGCTGTGCATTTTCATCAGTGGTGAACAAGAGCCTATTTGTTGTGCTCATAAAAGTCTCCATCAGGGAAGGTGCCCTACTATCACCACTGCTGAAATGCACCACTCACTCCTTACTGTGCTGACATTCAGCAAGCATCAGTTAAAGTCACTGGGTGCAATGTTTTCCACATGGGGGAACTCAATTCCACACCTTTGCTTCATATATGCTTCCATGTCAGAGACCATTTGGTCAGACTGCCCCTCTACTGCCATCTGTCACAAGGCAACAAGATGTAATGCACTATTGGTGGGACAGTTCATCCACTGCGGCCATACTGCCAACATCTGCCTGTGATGTCGTGGACCAACATCATCAAATAGGAGGCATGACTTTTGAAGCAACCCTCATATATGCCAGTCATTGAGAGCTGCACTGAGGAAGCCATTTGCAGGGTGTAAAAGCAACTAATTTGTTAAGTTGGGAAACTTAATAACAACTATACTTTTTTTTGCATAATAGAAGACACCTTTCATATTAAACACAACTCAGTATATAATCTTCATTTCTGTAATATATGGATCTGTGTTTACGCTACGAGCACAGTGCGTCACGGAATGGTTTGGGCTAGAAGAGACATTAAAGATCATCTGGGTCCAACTTCTATGCCACAGGCTTAGATACCTTCCACTAGACCAGGTTGTTCAAAGCTCCACCCAACTTGGCCTTGCAAAGACTTGGAACAAGAACTGCTAACAGAATTTACACATAGGCTAGTAGTATGTTTACTCCTTTCAGGACAAAACTGCGTACCTAGCATCTACCTTCAGTGCTTTCTGGATGCGTGATCTCATCTGTCATTCTTTTGTTCAGCATATACTGTAGTACTATTTCTGTACTGAAGACTAAAATAAAAAATCTCTGTGCAGCTTTTATTATCTGGTATACTGTCTTCACTGTCTGATTTGTTTTCTCACTGCCTTCAATTCTACTGGCTTTATCCGTTTATTTGCCATATAATTCCACACTAGTCTGATTCTCAAACTTCCTATTCTGCCTTCAATCCAGTAATGCTGCCTTACGTGTCTCCGTCCCATTCATTTATATTTCTTGGCTTTCCTAACAACTTCTTTGTTGTTCATCTGGCTGTTACGTAAAGACTACATGAGTTGGTAAGCTCCCTGAAAGAAAGACAAATCTCTCACCAGAAATGCTTTGTACCAGCACAGTTGGTTTTAGTTAGACATTCCATCTTGGAACAACATTAACGAACACATGGGGTGTGATTACATTCTGTAAGGCTGCAAACAGTGTAAAGTTCCAGTAGCAATTTTCCAGCTTAAATGATTCTATGATTCTGCTACCTCCAAGGTTTTGGAATTCTAAGCTGAGCAAACTGACAGACCTCACAAGGCCAGAGCAGAGTGCCACTGCCCTGAGTGGCCGCAGTAGCTGCCGTAGTAAGTTCATGAAAGGACAGGACACACTGCTATGAGCACTGCTCAAAATTCACCATGGCTTGAAGTGACATTTTCAAACCTTTACAACGGTATCATAATTGACAGGGTAGGGCAGAGCTGAGTGTGAAGTGGATGGACTCTGTTTCTACCACAGGCTCACCAGATGTTTTGGGTGAAGCTTCTGGAAGCATCAAAGCAGAAAAGCAGTCCTCCTTAACTAACAGAATTTAACAGCTATGCAGCCTGAAGCCCTAGCACATAAAGTTTCATTGAAAAAAAAAAAGAGTCATCTTACTACTTATAATACCAGATAATCAGGTAAAATATCCAGTACTGTACTAGAAAGCTCTCTGGTCTAGGTTGCAGAAAGCACTGAATGTGCATGTGCATCAGAGCCCCTTTAGCTAAATGAAAAACAAAGTTATAATAATCACTTCACAAACAATGATTATTTACACCTTAAAAAAATAAAGTGATAGTTAATATAATGCCCATCTATTCTCACTTTTGAATCCACACCCTACCATATACCTATGAAATTACAATTAATGTTATCATTATCTTAGTACCCCTTGTCATCCACACTGTGTAAGAGAGGACAATTACAGAAGGGAAACTTTTTATTTATTAAGAATAGATTTAAAACAAGCACCAGTATTTGGACAGTGGAAAATTGTGGGAAATCCATTGTAGTCATGTGGCTGCAAATGCTACTGAGGTCTCAGTGCAATAGCTCATCTTTATCAGAGTCGTGATATTGAGCAGTTGCATTTTTTTTTTAATGTCAAGCACTGACATCTCATAGGTAGGGTCGGGTGCTTTTGAAACTTCTTTTAATACTTCTTGTATTTTTTGCCACTGCAACCATGAAGACTGCATGAGAGATGAACGCAAAAGGGAAATCGTTTCTCCCCTCCAGATCTTGTGACTTGGCAATACCGGAGCACAGCGTAAGACAAACAGTTGCATCTTTGCAGGAGCTTTCTGGATTGGTGTTTGCAAACCGAGCCTCATCAGAATATCAGCCTGGAGCGATTCAGAGGGGGAGTGCATGGAAGATGGGTTAAAAAAAAAACAAACAACATTTAGCAAAGGTATCTCCGGTCCCGCATCTCCTCCGAGAGCTAGAACTGATGCTGTCTTTATGCCCGAAAGGGACGCTGTCTTTACGCCGCGCTGAGGGACCAGCTCCTGACATCGGTCCCTCCCTGCCGCGAGCGAGAGGAGCAAACCGCCCTCCTTTACCTCCGCGAGCTTTGCCTCGAGGAAATTAAAATCCCTCCCGCAGAGCATCCAGCCAGTTTGGTCACATCGACACTCGCAATTCGCAGCGCAGGTCAAAGCAGCAGCGCGCCTTTCCTGCTTTGAAATATGGTTCTTCCTTCGCAGCGGAGCCGCTGCCGAGAGCGGACGGGAGCAATGAGTACGGGACGCACCCCGAGCTCCGCATAACCCAACCTCCGGACGGGGCACGAGGGGCGCCGAAACGTCGCCCCGCGCGCCTCTCCTGCCGAGCACCAGCAGCTGCTCGGGCCGGGCCGGGCCGGACCGGCCACCCGCAGCTTCTCGCCGCCCGCCGGGACCGGGACGGGCACGCGCCGCCGCGAGGCTCTTCCCGCCGCGCTCTCCCGCCCGCCGCCCCGTGCTGTTCGTTACCGGCTCGGGAGAGGAGCAGCCCCAGGAGCAGGGCCGGCCACATGCTGCAGCTCGGCGCCGGAGCCGCCGCTCACATCCCGAACGCCGCCCGCCGCCCCGTCGAGGTGCAAACGGCGAGCACCGCCCCGCCGCACGGCCCGCCTCCACAGCCGCCGGGGTTGGGGCGGTGAGGGCGGGGAGCGGCGCGGATGAACACCCGCGGTGTCAGCGGTAAGGGAGCGCGCGCCCTGGCGAGTGTTTTAGAAGGGGTGCTTTGGAACGGCGTTACGTAAAAATTTCGTTTGTTGGTTCGGTTATTGACGCCCTACCTGAGGGCAAGGCTGGGGATGCTCCTCTCTGCGAGGAGCGCTCACGTGAGGCTGCTTTGTTAAAAGAAATCGAACGTTAATCGGAGGAAATTGCCTCGGAGGGGACAGGTGCTGGCTAGTTCTTGATTCCCTCGATGCTTCTATCGTCTGCTGAAGAGATGGTGCGAGCTTTTGCCTCCTTCCCGTCGGCTTTGTTGTGAAAGTTCTTTCTTCAGAATCTTACAGTTGTGGGCTTGGCTTCTGTTGAGCTGTTTCATTGTGTCCTGGTGAGCAGGACACCTCTGGGAGCCTACTCAACATTTAGGCAGCCATGTCTCTTTTTGAACAAATCCTTCTTTTTAGTTTCCATACCAAGATCAAATTAACCAATGTGAAAAAAGTAATAGTCTAACATGTACACATACATTAATGTATGAAAATAAGGTGAACTTTTGGCAGAACGGTTGTTTGTACAAGAGAGACCAACTCCATCTGTCCAAAAAGCCCAACAGAAAGAGTAATAACTGTGCAAACACATTAAGCATTCACAGTCCAATTCAATGCTGCTTTCCTGTTCCTGGGTTTTGAAAAAGATTTGTCCTTCTGCTTACTGTTGTGAGAGAATTCTTCCAGTTGTGAAGAAGTTATCCACAAACACTGGAGGCTCTCACTTCTTGTTCGAGGAGAGAAAGCGTTCGCACCATTCTTAAAGCCCTTACTGAAGTCTAATGGTTGGGGGAGCCTTTTTAACTTTAAGGAGAATTGTTTCAGTCATCGTTCAGGGAGGATGGAAGAAAGACTTGGAGAAGGAGACTTACTTATAAAAAGGTGTGAGGTTATAGCAGCACAGACATCCGTCGGTGCAGGAGTACAAATGCTTCAGGAGGTTCGTGGCCAGTGTTACTCTCAGTCCTGTTGAAGACAGCAGTCACAGGAGGGGGAGCTCTGCTAGACGGACTTGTAGCAGCAGGTATAACTTTGTGAAGATATGAATGTAAAGGGTAATTGGGATGATAGTGATTACCAGCCTGTGATCTTTAGTCTGTTGTTTCTTTTACACTGTTTTTTGCTTCTTCTAAACAAAGACGTATTCCAGTAAATTCAGGAAACTCGTGTAAAGCATCTCACAGGAGAAGCATCTTTGTACCTTGAAAAAGGAATTAATATAAATCATTAATCTTAACATCAAGCTCTGGGAAAATTCTGCTAGCATGAGGGGAAAAAAACAACAGGCTCCATTAGTCTCCAAAATGGATTAGCCAAGAACCAACATGATTTCTTCTGTAACAGAACAACAAGTTTTGTTGGGAAGAGAGAAAAGAAGAGCTCATCAGTACTGGGGATCTTTAAGAACAGCTTTCATCAGGTCAGTCTAACTGGGTACCAGAGGACACATGCGAGAATCTTTAACAGTCCTTTCCAGGCCACTTTTCTGATCTTGTGATTATAAATCTTCATCTAAATCCCACAGAAGTAATTGATTAACTCAGTTCTGAGTTATTCTTTATAGTGGATAAAAATGGACAAGGAAATATTTTCCCTCCATATTAAATGCATTTGCTGCAGCAGTGCTTTCAGGCTGCCTTGATGAGTAGCCAAGCAGAGGAACTGTTGCTTGACGTCTGATGAAGTGCTGACCACTTCACTAGCCAGCACACCAACCTACTGTGATGAAAACATCCTTTTCTTGACTTCTGATTGCTCACGTGTATTTTTGCCTGGGACCCGTGACGTATGAGGTTATTTGTTTGTTCTTCCCCATGCACACATACAGAGCAGCACTTTAACCTCATTACGCATCTCAGAGAGTTGGATAATTACCAGCCTCTCATGAGTAGTGCTGCCATCACTCTTTCTGTTTGTAGTTTTATAGGTTAACTCTGACCTATGGGAACCATCTACTAGCGTAATGTTTAATATCTCACGAATCGGTCTCTCCCTGATTCCCTGCCAGGTCTGGGCCTTTGACCTTCTTAAGCAGCTGTAGAAACTGTGATTAATGCTGATCTGATTTCCTCAGCATTTAGCCTCAGTTCCATGTCTTGTTATCTATTTTACTCTTTTTGGTTTCACGTAGGTCTTGGCTGGACTGGAGTAAGTGAAGTCATCAAGTCCTGTAATGAAACAGACATGGCTGTGGAATATAGGAAGTTCGTTCTTCTCAGATCTTTGTCAATATCTTGCCCAAAATGAAAGTGTTAATCCTGTGCGTAGTTTCAGGGTTGTATGGGAGTTAAACATATGCAGAAATTGGTCACCTCATTCCTTTCCTTCTTGTCCTCATGGATTTGTTCTTAACATCTAGGACCAGAGGGAATGGTTTCAAGCTACGGCAGGGGAGATTCAGGCTGGACATGAGGAAGTAATACTTTTCAGAAAGGGTGGTCAGGCACTGGAATGGATGCACAGGGAGGTGGTGGAGTCACCAACTCTGGGGGTGTTCAAGGAAAGGCTGGATGTTGTGTTGAGGGACATGGTTTAGTGGGAGCTATTGGTGATAGGTGAACAGTTGGACTGGATGATCTTTTAGGTCTTTTCCAACCTTGGTGATTCTATGATCTAGTCAATGCCTCCTGCAGTAAGCACTGCTTTACCATCACTCAGGTACTCTCAAACATAAGCTCTAGAGATAACTGCTACTATTTACATATGGGATCCTGAGGAACAAACGTGCTCAAATTCATCAAGGAAGTCGATTTGCTTGTGAATTCTTTGAGTTCAGAGCTGTGCAGTCACACTTTTCATAGTCTAGAGAGCATTTGCACCCCAGCAACTAGTTGGAGGGTGTAATCACTGCACGTATATTTGTGATTGGATGTTATGCCAAAAGAGCTGAAGGAAACATTCAGTAATGTCATGGTCAAGTAGGCACTCAGTTACTTTTCAACCAGAGCCAGTGTTATAATAAAAGCTGCGCTCCCCTTCTTCTGAGCCCCAATCCCAGGAAGATAGACTTCTGACTGCAGGAGAAAACCATTTCCTCAGCTTTTATTGTCAAAGGTAAATTACGCCCTTCCTGACGCGCATTGAGACTAAAGAGGACAGCTACGTACAAGCTGATTGGGCATCAGATTTGCATTGCCCATTTCATCATTATTTCATCCTCAGGGATGTTGTGTGGTTTTGATTGTTACACTCAAAATCATCAGCCAAAGAGAGCAACTGCTTTTACAGCAGTCAGGAACTCTCTCACTACCCTGGTACAATACAGGCAGCAAAACTAATACACACTGAATTTCCGCTCCTCACCACCTCACCTTCCCTCTGGAATACAGCCTTACTTTGCTTCTCATTTTTGTTTTATCATTCATGAGTGTGGAGGACCCTCTGGTCTTCGCAGTGCAGATTACAATCCAACAGCCTCTAATGGAAAATATTAACACCAAACCTTGTGCAGAGGACATATCAAACCACCCCAATAGAAATAAAGTTATTTCCTATATGCACATGAACACACAGTATCACAGCTGCATTTTTCTATGACCCAAATGACTTACTGATAAGAAGTAGTAATGACTTCCCTAATATTTTGGTGGCAGCAATTACAATAAATGGATTAGCATAAATGAACTCTATAAAAAATAGATCTTAATACCTACAACTTCATAGAAAAAAAGACATTATTGAAGTTGGTTTACTGTTAAATTACTAATGAGAAATCAATATGCTGTTAACAGATTGCTAAACTGGGACATAGAGGGATGTCTACTCCAAAGTCATTCCATGAATCCCTGATAAGAGTTCACCATAAAAGCTAAGAATTTTGGACACAACTGCTTTTCTCTGAAGTGTCTATTTGCTTTTTACTTCAATATAACAGGTGCTTACTGGCATGCACATAATTTTGTTACATCTTCAAAGCTCCAACACGCTTTGGAGTAAAGGGGGATATTTGACTAGCTGTTAGAGTTCTGAGTGTCTACTCTGAGTGCTTGTCCATGTGCTACCTGTGAGGCTGTGTGTACCACATGTGATTAACCCAAAGACTTTTTATAGCATATCTGTATTGTCTTTGTCTAATACTGCATTTGCTTTCTTCTCTCTACAAACAACAACTCTGAAAACTGGAATGTTTCAGCTTTTCCAATCCACCTGGCTCAGTATTGGATTGGAAGAGGAGAATTAAAACAGCCTTTTGTGCTACACCTTCATGTACTTAGTTGTGAGGGTGGCTGATGACGACATACAGCTTGCTTTCCTGTTGCTTTTGTGTTGAACAGTTCATAAACTTATAGAAAGTCAAGACCAGAGCACGTACAAAGGCCTTTTGTTGCACTTCCTGAGGCAACAATAACTTTGATGAGGGTCCTGATGGCAATGATCGCATAATTTAAATTGAGCAGGGTAGCCCTGATGAACGTCTGGTCATTGCAATAGCTGTACAGCTCGGTTTCCATGCTTCTCCACATTTTAGCTGAGAAAAATCTGGCCAGACTTTTGTGATGTTCCTTGAAATTCACTGAAAAGATCTCAGTTCATATTCATTTTGCTTTCAGCTTATGAAGAACTAGGCACAGCACAAGAGCTCATCTTGCAAGTTTGGATACATCTATGCTAATTCTAATCATAGACTAGGTGTGGAATAGATAATCCATTTATCATGCTGGTGCCGCTTGCTCACTGGTTGTTCCTCTCTTTGGCTGGAAGATCCCTGGGGTATCTGCAAGAGGTATTGTTTCACATTCCTCATCTGCTCAAATCAACAGCAATGGACCTGTCTTTTCTTTACTGGGGAGCCCTTTTGAATAAATCAAGAGCACAAATTCTTAGTTTCCTCCTGAAATGACTATCTAGCACT